TGATTGAAGACCGTAAGAAAGAATAGACCGGCTGAAACGTGGTCTACAGAAGGAAACATCTAAAATATTTAATATCCGAGCATTTCTTGATTATATGTTCAATCTACAGGGTGGTCTGAAAGTCTTGTCACTCTTAGATAATATAACGTGCTTTGTATTACTCTATTTCTTATTCTATTGTTCTCATTACTTTTTTTGGTAGGGGGTGACAAGACTTTCGGACCAGCCTGTAGTTTCCCTATAACTTTATTTATAAATACAGAATACCTCCACCCCCTCCCCCAAAAATGTATTCACACTTGAGGAAGACACATTTGTCTTTCGTACTTTTATCAAATTGCGATAACAATCTTTACTGTAGTACGATATTTTCGCGACAGATGACATCACCCATATGGTCGTTGCTCAACAAAGATACCTTATATTAATCCCGTGATGTCTGAATAAATTTAGTGTTACAATATCTGTCCAAGTTTTTCCTTTTCAAAAGTGTGTATATAATTCTGGGGCGGATTTTGTATTTTCTTGGTAACCGTTCAGATCAACTCTTCGCTATGGAACTTAGACTTTATGAATTTAAGGAGAGTACTAGATTGGCAGCTAGGTCTCATCAACTCACAGTTGAATTGGTTAGATGTAACCGTAAGTTCTATGCTAATCTTTTTTTTCTCACACTTCTCGCTTGTGGAACTTTCTTCCGGCTCCATGCTTTCCAGTTAATTTTGATCTTCAAATTTTTAAATGCAGTGTCAATCGTTATCTACCGTCTGATTGCTTACAATCATTGCTTGATTGCTCTTTTATTGTTATAATGCTTCTCTTTTTTATTATTATTATTTAACACTGAATAATCCCTTCTGTCTTAGTGGCCTTACTTCCTTGCATGGGGTGATACGATTAAATAATAATAATAATAATAATAATTTACTTTATTTCATTTGTATCTTTGTATCGTCTCACAAATATACAGGGAGTTCAAAACATTTTTGCATCATTTTGTTTAATAACTCAGCCAATTCTTGCTCAAATGATCTCAAATTTTAACAAAATGTGTGAAAACTAAGTTGACTCTGCGGACTTGTCTCAAAGAGAATCTACCAGGAAAATTGATCGGGTGTTTCAGAAATAATGACAGTGTGCTGTTGAAATGGCCACCACATTCACCTGACATTTTTTTCGTGAGGCTATATGAAAGGACAAGTCTATATCCTTCCTCTTACTACATGCCTGTAGAATATTGGTTAACTTGCAAGTGGTCGGACACGCAGGTAGACTGTTGTAGTCACTTCAAGTTGGAAACAGTACTGAGTGATTTCATGGAGAGATATATACGGGTGAATAGAGTTCACTCATGCAATATGTGTTGGGCAGGTCCATTCTAGTAAAGTGGGTTAACCTACCTGTTGTATTAGGTACTCTCCTATAAATGAGGTAGATTAGCTGGCCTACCTTTACAAGGAAACACAAGGAGACAGCCATGTTAGAAGGTAAGTAGTTTGACTTCTACAATGCCTAGAGGAACTTAAGCAGGAAATCACTGAGCCGCTGAAGAATGTTACGCAAGACATGCTACAGCGTGTTTGGCAGGAGCTTGACTACCGACTGACGGGTGTCGTATCACAGATGGTGCGCATAGGGAACATTTGTAAAGCTTTGTGAAATCGATTATAAAATCTACATCCCTTTGAATATCTTTTTCGAATTTTGATACATAAATCTTTTATTGTTCAACATGAAGCCTATCTAATTCCGTTTGCCTGGGACATTGTAGTTACTCAGTCACATTTTAAATGATGTCAGTTATTTCGGGGGCATCCTGTATAATTTCAGTAACTTTTATATAGCATTCACTTACAGTGAGACAAAGCCCTCCGCGTGTTAAACAAACACAGATCCCTTTTCATAGTTAACCAAAGCTAAACGAAGTAGTCTGCTGCATTATGTTTTTTTTTATAATGTTGTTCACCCAATGAAAGATCCAAGAGTCACTCAAGGTAGAGCTTTACTGAATGCCTAAAGCAGATAATAGTTGACTCGAGATTTGAAGAGGTTAAGATTGTACTATTCGGAAAAGCATCCTCTTGGGAATATGTTCCATAAAGTAACGTCTCTTTGGATCAAATGGAACTTCCTCTTTACTAATGGAATACTAAGTTAATGAGGTTGATACAACGGTGTATATATGGCATTGCCGGTCTTAGCTGTAAATTTCTGAACTGGTGGAACTAAGGAATGTGGAACGTCAGAAAATTTTTAATGGAAGTAAACGGTAGAATAGCGAGTGGCTTGCAACGTTGCGTCTGTGGGAAATTCGTGATTCCTGAATTTTGTCATGCATATCATCATCATCATCCTTCGAACTCCCTATGGTTGGTCGGAACTCCACACTATTCGGTCCTGCATTGCTGTCCTCAGATCCCCAATGCCCATCCCTGAGTACCGACCTGTTGTCTCTGGGAAAGTCAATTTTCGAGAGAAGACACTTCCAGAATGATGCCATATGAGTAAGGATGAGACGATTTTCCTGTCCGATCGGTGGCAGTGGCCGGCAAACTATTAAACCGGTTATACTAATCCGAAAATCTGAATAAAATGCATCAACACAAACTTCAGGTCATGAAGATTGCGTTGAAGCCTAAAACAGACTGTCACAGCTTGGTGCTGACCTTAGTGTCGAAATTTACAATTTTCATATGCTCTTTTATCCATAAATATAGCACACCTTAAAACTATATTTTTATTATATATATATATATATATATATATATATATATATATATATATATATATATATATGTGCATGTGTGTGTGTGCTTGAACCTCATACGTCGAATTCGACGGGGAGAGTATATATATATATATATATATATATATATATATATGCGTGTTTATGTGTGTGTGTGCGTTTGTATGTGCGTGTATGCGCGTGTGTGTTTTAACGCGTGTGGGTGTGAAATGCACACATATACATATATGCCAGCCCAATGTACAGGGTGCGATGGATAAATTGTCGTCCAAATGACGCAAAAATGAAAATAACACTGACGTCTCATTTTAACAGATCTGTTTTCTATCAAATGCTTCAGTGAAGCATTTGGGACTCTAATCCCAACAAACAATTTCTACACACTGTTTGACTTTATAAATGGTAAACCTTAAGACTATACATCATCATCATCATCATCATCATCATCATCCTTTGTCCTGCCTATTGTTGGTCGGAACTCCATTGACAATCCCTTTCCACACTATTCGGTCCTGCATTGCTGTCCTCAGATCTCCAATGTCCAACACTGAGTACCGAGCTATTGTCTCTGGGAAAGTCAATTTTCGTGAGAAGACACTTCCAGAAGGATGCCATATATGTAAGGATGAGACGTTTTCCCATTGCTTTCTCCACAGATTCTTTATCATTATTATCTGGGAATTACCATGCCTTCTTTGGAAACATAGTGGAATGTAATACAATGGATGCTAAGGGACGATGAAAGGATGAGACATGGATTGAAATCAATGTGAAGCAATCCATCATACTCGCCGAAGATTAATGGTAACGGGTGGGTTTAATTATTTATTACCTTTCTCAGATCCTCCAAAACGATATATCGATCTACTTACTAGCAGTTACTCTACGCAGGGACATGTCTGTATATGTCTGACTGTGTCTGCGTGTGTGTGACGTACACACACGCAGACGATTCTTGGGTGAACGGCTGTTGGTTTCTCTTCGTTATCTTACGAACTGGTGACGCACTCGTTTAACCTTCTCTTGACATATTAATCCTGTAAGTCTGTTCGGCTCTTCGCGCCTCTTCCCCTTAATGGAGGTCACAAAACCTAACGCCCATTCAAGCGCCCCTTTTTGCTTCTATCAGATTTCCATATGCCTTTTCAATAAACGCATCAGCCACCATCGAACCCTCTCCCCTCGCACATACATTCTTTCATATATATATATATATATATATATATATATATATATAAAATTACATATCCGCACGTGCAAATAATAACAGATATTTATTTTATTTATTTATTAAGCAGTTTTTAGTACGGCACAAGGCCACAGGAATGGAGGACTAAATAAAATTCGATATCTTTAATATGGTTTCCTTTGTTTGACATACGGCTTCGGGAGTGGATTTACGGAATAATATTCGATCTCTTTATTTACTATGAGATCATTTGTATGGCACAAGGCCTCAGAAATGGAGGACTAAATAAAATTAAACTTCCTTATTTGCTATATCATCTGTATGGCACAACGCCTCAGAAATTAAGAACTAAAATTTACACTTGTTTATATACCATGATTTCCTTTGTATGGCACAACGCCTCAGAAATTGAGAACTAAAATTTACACTTGTTTATATACCATGATTCCCTTTATATGGCACAAGGCCTCAGAAATGGAGAACTAAATAAAATTCGATTTCTTTGCTATGATTTTCTTTGTATGGCACAGGGCTTCAGGAGTGGAGTTACGAAATAAAATTCAATCTCTATGATTTCCTTTGTATGGCACAAGGCCTCAGAAATGGAGAACTAAATATAATTCGATTTCTATATATATTCTATGATTTGCTTCGAATGCCACAAGGCCACAGGTGTGGAGAACTAAAAATGGAACTCTTTATTTACTAAGCTTTCTATAGGATGCCAAATGGCCACAAAATTCTTCTTCTCAGTGTCATGTCCTTTCAAGAAGTTGTTGATCATGTCTCTCCACAACTTCCAGTTTTTATTGTTCTTAGGAACTCTTGACAACTTACCATCCGACTTTGTTTTGCCATCCATTCACCTGAAATTGTCAAGCAGTTTATTCACCGTTTTCCCACTATTTCTTTTGTCTCCCGCGCGTGTTAAATTCTCCTGACCCTCTTTTCTCACAATGCATTTTTCTCAAGGGTATTTGCGCATAAGTGAATATAACGAACCCGATTGGAATTCGAACCCGGATCTCCGTTTTCTCATTCCATTACACAACCAACTCATCCAAGCTTACAGCACTTGGTATTCCCAGGCAGTTACCCATCTAGGTACTGACGAAGTTCAACGTTGCTTAACTTCGGTGATCGTACAAGAAACTCTGCTTCAACACAATATTATCACAGAGGTGTTTCGATATTACTTAGTAGTTCAGCACTATTTTCTTTTTCTTTTTTTCTCAAGAGATATATTTCTGTCTCTTATTACTTTGCTTACTTTCGGAAAGGCCTCTTTCTCTATAACTGTCATTTTTTTGAATTTCCATCACCTAAGAATATTCTTCTTCTTCTTCTTCTTCTTCTTCTTCTTCTTCTTCTTCTTCTTCTTCTTCTTCTTCCACATGCAGTGTCTCTTCAGGACGTGAGTGATAATGATCGATTTGTCAGTGAGGGGACTTCCCGATATTATCAGCCTGGTGAGACGGCCCCCAGCACGCGACACCGTTGGGGAGAGCTTGAAAACCATGCAACGGATTATGAGTGAAACTGGATAGACGAAACCGCTTGGAATCCGTCGATGGTTGAACTCGCACAAAGTATCATGTCATCGTGACAGAATCGTTTAGCATACTGTTTTTGTTCAGACCTTTACAGTGTTAAGGCACATACACAGGGACAAATCAATCGCATTGCGTTTGTATTTCTTTATATTTTCTATTCGAATAGCTTCTTCCTAAGAACTACTAATTTGTGGCACAGGCTCCCGAGAGGATGCTTCCCCGATCACTTACAAATCTTAATGTTTTCAAGTCTAGTTAACTGTTATCTTTCTTACATGTCTTCATAATAGCACTTCACACGTATTACTCTTACGTTTATACAACAATTTTATTCAGTAACACTCTACCTTGAGTGGCTTTTGGGTATTGTATTCGGTTATCGGTTAGTAAAAATAAAACATGCAGGCTTTTAGATTTAATTTGTTAAAATTTGTCTCTGTTTAGTGATTCTAATCAATATTGCATTGTGTGTCGTCTCTGAATACTTGTTGTCTATCGGCAATTCTTCAAGCCCCAACGCTGCATCATGATTCTCCTGAATTGTTTTATTTCATGGGAGACAGCGGTTATAACATCGCTTTTGTTTTGTTTTTTTTTTTTTTTGGTGGTGGGGAGAAAGAAAATGAAATAGAGAGAACGGATGTCAACAGCGCGGTCAATTACTTACCATCATCGCATGGGGATTTGTCTCGCTCGCTGCTGAAGTCACAGCACACCAAGGAATCTGGGAGTAGAAAGGCGTTTTCACTCTTTTACTAGCCTCTCCCTCCCTGCCTCTCTCTCTCTCTCTCTCTCTCTCTTTATCTATCTCTCTTTCTGTCCGTCTATCTATCTATTTTCGATCTTATACTAAAACTTAACAAAAATAATAAAATAAAAAATAAACAAAATCTGTCACTGTCATAACACGCCCACGGGGTTCAAGTTATTGCGCTTCAGTTCGCATTGTTAGAATTCTGATCTGGGTAATGGATAACGGTTCGGATTGAGGAATCGGAGAGCCGAGTTCGAATTCCAGTCGAATCCATTACATTCACTTACGTGATAATACTCTTGGGAAAGGTATGAATCCTCTTCTTCTCCCTCCCAAATATAGGTAAATATCAGTACAGACCAATTCTATAGCCTTAGATAGCAACTGGTCTACCGCAGAAAGAAAGGCAACCTACTACAAGGAAAAAATCTGTCTCGTCAGTCATCTATCGAAAGATACATGATCACCTAAGCGTGCATCCCACATGGCACATAACTGACTGAATACCCTTGGAAAAGGTATGAATCCTCTTCTTCTCTCCCCCACCTATGGATAAATATCAGGACAGACTGATTCTATAGACTTAGATGGCAACTGGTCTACCGCAGAAAGAAATGGCAACCTACTGCGAGAAAAAAATCTGCCTCGTCAGTCATGTATCAAAAGTTACATGATTGCCTAAGCGTGTATCACGCATGGCATATACCTTGACTGACTGACTGTAAGGTTCGCCATTCGGAAGTCAGATTGCACATTCTGAAATAGTAAGAACAAAAAAAAAATTAAGCAAGATTTTTGGGTTATACATATTATTGGCGGACTAGGTAATGGCTGCTCCAGTTACTCCTACGCAGTAACTACTTATTTAAGCCGTTGCATAATGAGAAAGACTCTTTGTTCATTTTGAAAGCAAGATGGAAACTTCTTGGAAATATTTTGCGAATAGATCCGGAATGCCCAGTTAACAAAGCCATGGAGTTTTTACTTTGAAAAGGCTGAAGTTCAGAGGTCATCCAAGAACCACTCATAGTTACAACGCTGAAGCGAGACATTCAAAGAACAGGGCAGAAAGATCCCACTTTTCATTTGGAGAAGTTTACAATCAAGGAAAATCTGCAACGAATCCGCAAACTCGTAGAGAACGTAGAAGGTTGATAAAATGTTGTCGAATCAGTATACAATCTTCACTGAAGATAAGAGAATTTGTTAATTCATGACCTCAAATCTAAACAATTTTGATGAGGATGATGATGATGGCATGTGTAATTGGGAAACGGAAGCTGCAGAAAGAGCCACTAGGAGAAGAGCAGTCCACGAAAGAAAGACATCCTTCGAATACTCCAAAAGACAAATAGAATAGACGAAGAGAGTCCAAAGCCAGAAACTCTCCATCCCCTAAAGCAATGCTTCTAAAACTATCTGATATGGCGGACCGGCATTTTCTTTTCCCAATGTGTCATCTATCTGTCATATTTTGTGGTAATATTAATTTATACTGGAAACGATATATACAGGGTGTCCATAAAGTTCGTGTGCACTTTAAAAAATTTTAACTTTATTTGTATTTGCGATAGAAATAATCTGTAAGAAAGTTTAATGCACCTAGTTTTAAGTAGAGCTAAAATAACTAATGTGATTTCAGGCATTACTGTAAATCAGTTGGCAAATGTTTTCCGTGAACTGCAAAATCGTATTACCCTTTGTATTGCTAATGATGGAGGACATGTGGAAACTTAAATAAAATTTCAATAACACCTTAAAAAAGTATAGATTTACTTCTTTCTAATCGTTTTTACAAATTATTTCTATCGCAAATACAAATAAAGTTATAAATTTTTTAAATTGCACACGAACTTTATGGACACACTGTATAATGAATATAATAAAAGTTTAGTAGTTTTTATCTTCCATGTATTTTGCAAAAAAAAAATAATTCAGTATCAAAGCATATAAAAATAAAAACAATAAGCAGTTTATTAACACAAAAACAAAAATTATATATCCTTAATCTTTACAAATGATTACTTAGCATCGTCTGGACTCTGGCCGCGAACCGGAAGCTGATGGTTCGCGTATCAGCATCGGTCCACCACTTTGAGTAGCACTGCCCTAAACCCTCCTACCCTATCTTGCGGTGGCTGCAGACGACTCTTCAGATCCAACATAGGACTTCAGATAGAAATGTCGATGAGCACCCCAGTACCCGTCAACGAGTTCCGCCAACGAAGATTTATATAAACTAACCGGTTTAATCATTGAAAATCATTTGCTTCAACTTGGCTATGCAAGTCGCTTTCATGTGTGGCTACCGCATAAGCGAACAAGATTGTATTGGATTGTATTTCCATTGGATTGTATTTCTATTGGATTGTATTTCTATTGGATTGTATTTCTATTGGATTGTATTTCTATTGGTTTGTATTTCTATTGGATTTTTTTCTATTGGTTTGTATTTCTATTGGATTGTATTTCTATTGGTTTGTATTTCTATTGGATTGTATTTCTATTGGATTGTATTTCTATTGGATTGTATTTCCATTGGATTGTATTTCTATTGGATTGTATTTCTATTGGTTTGTATTTCTATTGGATTGTATTTCCATTGGATTGTATTTCTATTGGATTGTATTTCCATTGGATTGTATTTCTATTGGATTGTATTTCTATTGGTTTGTATTTCTATTGGTTTGTATTTCTATTGGATTGTATTTCTATTGGTTTGTATTTCTATTGGTTTGTATTTCTATTGGATTGTATTTCTATTGGTTTGTATTTCTATTGGATTGTATTTCCATTGGTTTATTTCTATTGGTTTGTATTTCTATTGGATTGTATTTCTAAAATATTTCCATTGGATTGTATTTTATTGGATTGTATTTCCATTGGATTGTATTTCTATTGGTTTATTTCTATTGGTTTTATTTCTATTGGAATTTCTAAATTATTTCTATTGGTTTGTATTTCTATTGGTTTGTATTTCTATTGGATTGTATTTCTATTGGATTGGATGGTTTTAAATTGTATTTCCATTGGATTTATTTATTAATTGTATTTCTATTGGATTGTATTTCTATTGGTTTGTATTTCTATTGGTTTTAATTTCATTGTATTTCTAAATTTTATTGGTTTGTATTTCTATTGGATTGTATTTCATTGGATTGTATTTCTATTGGATTGTATTTCCATTGGTTTGTATTTCTATTGGTTTGTATTTCTATTGGTTTGTAAATTTCTATTGGTTTTATTTCTATTTTGTATTTCCATTGGATTGTATTTCTATTGGATTGTATTTCCATTGGATTGTATTTCTATTGGTTTGTATTTCTATTGGATTGTATTTCATTGGTTTGTATTTAAAACAGAAGAAATTGGTTTGTATTTCTATTGATTTTTTTTTTTTTCTATTGGTTTGTATTTCTATTGGATTGTATTTAATATTGGATTGGATTGGTTTGTATTTCTATTGGATTGTATTTCTATTGGAAGATGGCGGAAATTGGTTTGTAGAATTGGATTGTGTATTTCTATTGGTTTTTGGTGTTGGATTGCGCATTTCTATTGGATTGTATTTCCATTGGATTGTATTTAAGATGAAAACAGATTGTAAATTGGTTTCGTTCATGCAAAAATTATTCCGTTTGAAACAAATTGAGGATGGCGATGAAAAGTGAATAGTTTAAAAAGGATTTATATAAAAACAAAACAAAATATTCGTTCAATTGAATGCTTTCATGATTCAAAGTTGTCTTTTGGGTGCAAGATAATAAAACAAAATAAAACAGAAGAAATTGTCGTTAATTTGGTAAGATGGCGGAAACTAAGAAGTTGTCTTTCGTGTTCAGCGCAGCTAAAA